CTGCATATAGTGCATATCCTTGCCAATCTTCATTTTTAATTTATACAGCTCAATTATCAAATTTAAAACTATTTAAACTGAGGGCTTTTCCATTTAAACAAACATTGTACCAGTGAAGGCCAATTTCAAAAAAATATATGCCAGAGTAGTTCAATTTCATGGAGTTCATATTATACTGATAAGAAAATTCTAATATGCATCTATGGGCAAGTACCCCATTTAAAAGTGCCATCCCTGAATACTATGTATGTTTTAATGGAACAGCCATGATGAAAAAATGTCATTTGGGAAAGAAAAACTAATTGATAAAATTCCAACTGAATTTGAGGCAAATACAACCAGAAACCTAGAATATTATTGTTTTATTTGATATCCCCAAATCACATATTTACACTTCTAAACACATATTTATCACTTCTAAACACATATTTATCACTTCTAAGCACATATTTTTCACTCATAAACACATATTTTCACTTATAAACAAAGTGTACAATTAAATAGATAAACATCAAACTATTTATTTGTAAAAATGCACAATGAGCAATGTCAAATCAATTTTATCAATTAAATATCTCAACTTGAGTTTAAAGCAATGCTCAACTGATTAGAGATTGAATCACAGAGCACCCAAGTAGCACAACAGAAGCAGCAAGTATGTATGCATGTCTGAATTCGAATTAAAATCACCATGTAAAAAAAGCACAATGTTCACAACAAACACTTATCCAAACAAATTGTTCCTCTCATCATCATACAGTGTATTTCCAGCTTCATTACTCATAACTTCTCTCTAATCTGGGTTCACACTTCAACCAACAAAGTAGATTACATAAATCACTGCTGTACCTAAGTCAGGCCGGCCAATCCTAGTTTTTTTTGTCTTCATTAGTTTGACCAGTTATCAGTACAGTGTGAAAAAAATATAGTCTGTTATTGTAAAGCTGGAAAACATATTTAAAAGTTTTGTATTTGAAACATGCAGCAACGGTGAACATTATATTCAACTGAAAAAAGTGTCAAGTAAATGTTGACCTTATTTACCATTAGTACAGTTGCACAAACTTCTGTTCCAAACCCAATGCAGCTCACTGGCTTGTTGGTATCAATCAACTTGACATAATTCTTGGTATAAAAATTTTTTAGATTTAACATGATGAAGGCAATCTATCTCCTGCCATTAAAGACACTCAAATTGACATGTAATGTCCAATAAACTTAAGTATGGCCCTTCCTGTTTTATTCACAAGAATCTGAATATTCCTTTTATTCTTTTGTGCTGGTCATTAAAACTTTTCTTTTTTTTTCTTTAACATGCACTGCTTGCTAGACACCATTTTAAAATATTCTCTAGTATAGTTTGATCATGCAGATCCTTTGCATGAAAAAAAATATGTGCAGTTTAAAACATCTGAGGTACTGATGTAAAAAGTCAGTCTGGTTCTCTTCCTCAACTAATTCAAATATGAAACCTAGACCCACATCAAACACAGACGAACCAATTATACAGATTTTTTGGGGTAATTTTTGCTCTTATTCGAAGTCCATATTTTAAGGGTCATTTTCATAAGTCTTAAGCGTTAAAAGGACTACTAAGTAATCCCATCTATACTACCATCCATCAAACAGAATCTTCTTAGTACATTGTTAGCACTTTTTATAGTGATGTATACCATTGCAGCTTAGTTTCAAATTAACTAAAGATGCTGAGAACAATTTCAAATTAAGATCACCAACAAAAATCTCAGAGTTTTGAAAAATTGCTCCGTTTCAACAGTACAATATTGTCAATCACCAAACACTGTCTTCAATTTTAAACTATCAGCACTGCCTAAACTTTAAATACCATGGGAACTGTTGAGAGCCCTTGCAAAGGGCCCAACATAACTTCTTATTGGGAATTATAGAGCTCCATGCTTCAACCAAGTTTAGCAGATCATTCAATTTAAGTGGTGAAGAGGGAACCCAATTAACAAGCAAGTCAATTTCAATAAGAATTTGAAAGCAATAATCATAACTTAAATTATGTAGTATGATAACAATGGCATTGCATATAATGTTTAGCAAAATCAAGGGATATAAAATTTGCATAACCTTCCACTCCCATATCATTAATGGGGCTGTTCCAAGTTTGGGACCAGGTAGCTGCAAGATATGTTATGCTAAAACCATCTTGGCAGTACAATGTCAAATGTCAAATGGCACATGTCCATCAGAGGAATCAATGAATGTATAGATGGTGATCACAGAAAGGATTATCGCTGACATGTCTAACAAGTACCTGCATGATTGGTAAGGTGTTGTTTCCATTAAAACATTCTTGGAACTGGGAAGTCACTTTCAATGTGTAGAAGTCACCCGAAGATGCAATTTAGAATTTTGTACCATTTTTATATGAATGCTGTACCCTGGCATAAGTTTTTAATAAAGTTTCTTCCCATGATACCATGCATGTTTAAATAAAACAGCCCGCAGAATCAAAAGCTGATGTAAAAACATGTTCTGGCAATGTCAAAATCAAGTAAAATGGTTCAGATGTAACCTTTGCAATAATGTATTTTCAAAATTCTGAAGATATTAATTTCATATTAAATTTTTTGTTACAGTTTTACATACATGCTCATATGAGCCATAGTAGTACCATGTTATATCTAGAATCGCAGGTTACAATGAGGTAAATTAGAGTCTTTAAATTTTTAGGATATTTTTTACAGATTTCATGCTGGTTATCAACTATCTTTATAAACACTCTGTAAAAGGAAGATAGAGACAGAGAAAGACAGGACACGCACTTGTTACAATTTTAAAGGCAAAGAACTCCATGGCTACCACACAAGATATATGCAGTCATTATAAATAATGAGAAAAGTAGTTTGGTTTGTTTTCAAAATTAAGGAAAAGGTATAATAAGCAACTGCTTTGGGAAAGTATTCAGCAGGATATGCAATTCAAAACTAGTCAGTGTGATAAAGCTGCAAATTAGAAAATAGACTTTTGTGATTTTAGGAATATTTACTTAACAAAGACTTACAACTAAATTGTCCACAAATGAGAAGCTAGAAGAATGTTACAAAATCTACAAACTCATCCTCCTTTGCTAATTATGTCTGTTTTACAAACCTTCCATTTTTGCCTGGTGATGGAAAACCTAAACACCATGTACTGGAAATAGACTGGAAACAGCAGAGGGGGTCCAACTGAAACAAAGTTAAATAAAGTCAGTTAACAATACGACCATCAAATAGCTGATTATTCCAGGTTTAATTACCCATTATGATTCAATGTTTAACAGATCTACAATTATCTGTGTGGAGAACAGATCCATTTCAAGGCACAATCATCAGTGAAAACAATAGAAGAAAACAGTTCAAACAAAACTGCTCATTTGCTTAACAGCCACAATTTAGAGAAGCTGACCAAATAATAAAAACAACTGTTTGACATTTTTCATTCTTTTTGTATCTTCATGTATATCTGATGAAATATCACATTCATTTGACTAAAATTGTAAGATTTCAATGCCATAAGGTGAGATTTTAAGAATTCTACATGTGTTACCTTTATCTTGTATTCATAAACATTTAACTTAGTTTTAATACATTTGCTGCTGCATTTTACCTTGTACTTTATGTTAACAATTTCTTGCTAGAGTATATCTTGCTAAAACTTCTTCTATTTGCATTTTTTTTTTCAATTTACCTTTAGTTGCCAATAAATAGTCAATAATAATTTGTACAAACTTCCATGTCATAATGTTTTCTGTTAAGCTTGGTCAAATTCTACAAATTATGTCATTTAAAGGTTTTTATAGTTTTCTCAATAGTAGTCCTATTTTTTGGCAGAACAGTATCATTTCCTTAAATCTTAAAGCCCTTTATGGCAGGATGCTTTTTATCAGTATTATGTTCATTTACTTTCCAAAAGTTGTTTAAAACTTAGGGTTGTTGTTGTATTAATGATGGCAATATCTGATGAAGAACTGGCATCGTTTGAACAAATTTAAAATTTTAAATTTTATCACTGCCCAGATATTTTGTTAAATTTGGTCAAAATCTGTTAAACATTTTTTGCAAAGAATTTTTTCTTCTATTTTTACTAATAGTGGCAATATCTGATGGTAGAAAGCATCTCTGGAAAATATAAGAAAACTTATTGCCAACATGCTTTCTGTGTGTGTGTAAACTAAGAAGATTCTTACAACAGAATGGTTTCTGTCAAATTTAGTCATATTATGCCAAGCGGTCTTTGAGGAGAGGTAATTTAAGGTTTTGTTTTATTTATAACATCTGTTATCTTATGGCAGATTATCGTTGATGGTACAAACTTGAATGACATCAATATGAGGATGCTTTCTGCCATGTTTGGCTAAACTTATTTTAGTGATACATATGGAGAAATTGTTGATGAATGCATAATGCACAATGGATGGAGATCCATACCAGAAGCTCACATGGCTTTGTCGCCTGGTATGTTGAAAATTGCATTTGCTTTTGGTTTGACTTTTGACCTTTTGAGCTAGCGATCTGATCCTGATTTATGGCATGCCATCTAGTGGGGATGTATATACAAGGGTAAAGTTTCATCAAAATGTTTTCATGCAGTCAGATAAATTGAAGTTATGCTAATATTGTAACATAAGAGATCCCATCAAAATGTGTGTAAAGACAGTATCATAACTGTGTAAAGACAGTATCATAACTAGGAAAGGACTGGCCAGATTGGTACTGTGTCGAGTTTTCTTACTCCCATTTTCTAAGGTTCGACCACCCAACCTTATAAAACAATTGGGGGAAGGGGATTTTATTATGCCTGGTTGGGAGAGTGTGATTTGGATTTTTAACTTAACTTTAAAAATTTTTCTGTATTAATGCTATGATGTCTGCAATGTGGTAGTGAATAGTGATGTCTAGCACTGGGGCACCCAGTCACATTATCCTAACACTAATCTCTTAATGCTGAGCGCCAAGCGAGGCAGCTGTTGTACCATTTTTGTACGTCTTTGGTACGACTCAGCCAAGGATCGAACCCACAACCTCCTGCATCCAAGGTGGATGCTCTAACCACTAGGCCACCGTAGCAATCTGCCCAGTGGAAGGAATGACCAGCCAAGATCAAATTTTTTTCTTAAAACCTGGCCAGGATATGCAACACCCAACGGGGTCAGTTACTCGTCCATCCTTAGTCTATAGAAGGCCCCATCAAAATGGATTTGCAGTCATCATGACTAAAGGCCCATAAAATGGATGTACATATTGTATCATAATGTTTAATCTTCAATCAAAATGGATTTACAATATCACAACATATATGGCTCCATCAAAATGGATATACAATATTATAGCATAAATGGCCGATCAAAATGGGTGTCCAGATAATGTAATAACAACAAGTACCTATAAAAGTGGGTGTACAGACATACTGACATACAAGACCCAGTCAAAATGGGTGTACACTTGTAAAATGTATCATCATATCAAAATGGATGTGCAGATAATGTCCCAACATACAAGATCCCATTAAAACAGATGTACAATTATTAATATGCAAGGCCCTGTCAAAATGGATGTACATAGTATACAAGGCCCCGTCATTATGGGTGTACAATATCATACCATAAAGCACTATCAGAGTGTAAGTAAAATGTCCTAACATATTAAGGCGCCATCATAATAGGTGTAGAACTTTTACTAAATACATACTGAGAAAGAAATATCTATGCTGCCAGTTGTATGGGGGACTGTTCTTCCTCTTCTTAGCTACCTATAAACACCAAACAAATAAAATTATTATAAACATTCAAAAATGTTACATTTGTTAAATGTTGTTATTAATATGGAGGACTATTATTTTAAACAAATTATTATTCAGTATCATTACAAGTAAATATTTACCTGAATATCTGCATGATCATTCATTATTGTTACAGTTCAATATTTTTCCACACTTTGCATGGTTCACTGCCAACCGTACAATATAGGGCTTCTTTACCTTAAAATGTGTTTTTTGGATTTTTAACAGGTTTAAAAAAATTTCACTATGACACTTGCAGTGTGGCAGTTTATAGTTATGTTTAGCACTGTTGCATCATGTCCCACCCAGCCATATTATTTTGACACCAGGCCAACCAGCCCTAACACTAACCTCTTAATGTTGAGTGCCTAGAGAGGTAACTAACTCTACCATTTTTATAACTGTTTGGGATTACTCAAGCAGTATTCGAACTCACAACCTTGCACATTCAAGGTGGAAGCTCTAACCACTAGCCATCAGAGCAGTCTTTTAAGAAAGCATTGCATCCAGAGAAGCTTAATGGATAATCAGAATAAAAAAATGCAATATATTTTATATTTCAGAAGAAATTTTCAAGGTAATGGTGATGTTGACAGTATAGTAAGCAGAATTAGTAAGCATCTTGGTTTTAAAAAAATTTATCAGAAAATGACACTGCAAAATTTGGTAACAAAGCTGCATGAAGCAACAGAAATAAATACATTTATTTTGTACCCAAAACCCACAAATATCCTACCTGAAAGCATAAAAATAGTCAAATAACTATGATGCATTTTAACTTGTAGAAATGTAGATATCAAATTTTACTAATTCATTATTACTTTATACAGAAATGTAGATATCAAATTTTACTAATTCATTATTACTTTATACAGAAATGTAGATATCAAATTTCACTAATTCATTATTACTTTATACAGAAATGTAGATATCAAATTTTACTAATTCATTATTACTTTATACAGAAATGTAGATATCAAAAAATGTTAATGCATAATGGTAAATGTCCAAACATTAATCATCAGATAATTGAAAACATATCTTTAATAATGACAATAATACAAAGTTTCAAATCAATCCCCTAAAACCTGCAAGAGTAGCTAACCACACGAAATTCTATCATCCAGCCATAAGATGAAACAGCCTGGAAAAATTACAGGAGCACAAGCAATTTTCAACATGCGTATCTTTTCGATGATAACCATAATAAAGTTTCTCAATAAAAGCAAGAAAACAATCGAGACTGGTTGCACTAAAAAGATTGTATCATGCAACATGATAATAAGATTGTATCATGCAACATGATAAAAAGATTGTATCATGCAACATGATAAAAAGATTGTATCATGCAACATGATCAAAAGATTGTATCATGCAACATGATAAAAAGATTGTATCATGCAACATGATCAAAAGATTGTATCATGCAACATGATCAAAAGATTGTATCATGCAACATGATAAAAAGATTGTATCATGCAACATGATAAAAAGATTGTATCATGCAACATGATAAAAAGATTGTATCATGCAACATGATAAAAAAGATTGTATCATGCAACATGATAAAAAGATTGTATCATGCAACATGATAAAAAGATTGTATCATGCAACATGATAAAAAGATTGTATCATGCAACATGATAAAAAGATTGTATCATGCAACATGATAAAAAGATTGTATCATGCAACATGATAAAAAGGAGCAATAACTCAAACAAACTATGTACCGCAACATTTGTCCATCTGTGCATCTTCAGGTGACAAAATTTTATTTAAGTTTCAGGTCTTTAACAAGATTTCTTTTATACACACAAAACAAAAATGACAAGAACTCAAACAAAATATTGAGAGCAAACTGATTTCATTGATACGCACATTTTAATATGATGATAATGGGTACCAAGTTTCATGACTATTTATTTAAAATTGCAGGACTAGCACTATTAACAAGTGCCAGAAATAAGGACAGATAGTGTGTGATTTGGAGTTTGAACATAGCTTTATAAAAATTTCACTCATACTGCTACAATGGTTGCAGTGTGGCAGGTTATAGCGATCCAGCATAGGGGCATCATCCTGCAAATGCATAGCATCACGTCCCACCCAGCCACATTATTCTGATACCAGGCGGGCCAGTCCTAACACTAACCTCTTAATGATGAGGGTCCAGCAAGGCTCCTGTTAGTACAATTTTTTTAAGTCTTTGGTATGACTCAGCCCAGTTTTGAACCCAAAACTTCCCTCATCTGAGGCGGTCACTCTAACCACTAGGTTCAAGGAGTGTCAGGAACGACAGATGGAAGTACATAATTACAGCTTTAGCTCAATAGAGGCAGGGGAATAAAAAGTGAATTAGTTATCCCAATACGGCAAATTATCTTCTTTTCTTGCGAATTATAAATGACTGCCTGTTTCACCTTCCATGTCATTTGTTACAGAAATAAAAATATGAATAAACTGTTAAAATACCTCTACAGGCATTACATCTCCTAAAACAAAGATGGACTCCACCCTGACATCAGGATCCTTGTTTATCTGGAAGGAAAATAGTGTATTCTATAAAACTTTGGACAAGAATATGCTGTTAGTAATAGATATGTGGAATGCTGGATTCTGCTTGCTCTAAAGCTGCATACATTTTACATTAAACAGTGACTGAAGCATGGTAAGATGGTCACTAGAAATGGCTTTTGATATTAGTATATATAATTTCTCAAGATTAATGCATCCATTAAGTTTAATAACTATTTGTATCAGTATATATAATTCCTCAAGATTAATGTATCCATTAAGTTTAATAACTATTTGCATCAGTATATATAATTCCTCAAGATTTAATGTATCAATTAAGTTTAATAACTATTTGTTGTTGTTGTTGTTGTGCTTAACGCCATTTTTCAGCACACGATAGGCTATTCATGGCGGTCAGTATTAATGGTGGAGGAAGAAACCGGGAAATCACCGGAAAGAACCACCGACCCACGAGAAGCTACTGGCAAGCTTTCTCACATATCCACATTCGCCGAATCCTAGACTCGAACCCACGCAGAATATCTATTTGTATCAGTATATATAATTTCTCAAGATTAATGTATCCATTAAGTTTAATAACTGCTTGTATCAGTATATATAATTCCTCTAAATTAATGTATCCACTAAGTAATAACTACTTGTATCAGTCAACATAATTCCTCTCTATTAACGTATCCATTAAGCTTAATAACTACTTGTATCAGTATATAATTCCTCAAGATTAATGTATCCATTAAGTTTAATAACTACTTGTATCAATATATAATTCCTCTAAATTAATGAATCCATTAAGTTTAATAACTACTTGTATCAGTCTACATAATTCCTCCAAATTAATGTATCCATTAAGTTTAATAACTACTTGTATCAGTCAACATAATTCCTCTAAATTAATGTATCCATTAAGTTTAATGACTACTTGTATCAGTCAACATAATTCCTCTCTATTAATGTATCCAATAAGCTTAATAACTACTTTTATCAGTATATAATTCCTCAAGATTAATGTATCCATTAAGTTTAATAACTACTTGTATCAGTATATAATTCCTCTAAATTAATGTATCGACTACTTGTATCAGTCCACATAATTCCTCTCTATTAATGTATCCATTAAGCTTAATAACTACTTGTATCAGTATATAATTCCTCTAAATTAATGTATCCATTAAGTTTAATAACTACTTGTATCAGTATATAATTCCTCTAAATTAATGAATCCATTAAGTTTAATAACTACTTGTATCAGTATATAATTCCTCTAAATTAATGTATCCATTAAGTTTAATAACTACTTGTATCAGTCAACATAATTCCTCTAAATTAATGTATCCATTAAGTTTAATGACTACTTGTATCAGTCAACATAATTCCTCTCTATTAATGTATCCATTAAGCTTAATAACTACACATATCAGATTTCAAAACAAAGAGGTAAAAAGAAAAGAAAAAAAGAATATTCACATAAAACATCACTCTATATTTTAACATATTTTGATAATGAGACTTGACTGGGTTAGATTCCAATTTATGGTCAGTGAAAACACATGGTGTACTCTGACGATCATTCATCCTATGTTAAAATAACCAAATTCTGAATATTAATCTTGGAATATATTGGAAAGAGTATAAAATATTTTACTTGCAATAAATATTTAGTCTCAAAACAAATAAGACAGTCCTGAAGGATTTTATGAACCAATAAAGTCAAAATAATGAAGAAAAAAAAAGAACTTAACAACAGTTCTGGTTG